GAGGGAACGGCCCATGCAAAGGCTCCGAGCAAGAGCAAGCCAGGGAGGGCAACTGTGATGAAATCGGAGAGGGCCTTAGAGATCCAGGAGGACTTTGGCTGTTTGCAGAAGGTAGGCCACTGGAGGCATGTAGCACGGCAGTGACGGGACCGGCTCTGCATTAGGACAGGGTCATCCCAGCTACCAGGGTGACAGTAGGCTGTGGCCCAGTGGGAATGCGGCAGAAGCAGGGAGACTGGGCCACGGGGCCTCTCTTTTGAGAGGTGGACCTTTCAGAACTCCCACAGTCCAATGGCTGTCTAATGGACCAGTTAGAATCCACACTTTGCACTCTGTGCCCACTGCCACCTCCTACTCCTGGCTTTCACGGCTGCCCACCTGAGCTGCCCCCACAGGTTCTGCTTTGGGGACAGAGTTCAAAAAGCCCTGCAAGGAGCCTGCCTGTCCACTTGGACTCCAAAGTTATTTGATAAGACGCAGACCGAGACCAAGGACCTATGCAATCAATGTGTGAGCTGAGGAACCTTTTAGGCTGTGTTACCATCACCCAAAAAGGTCTTTTCAAACCACTCAGGGGAAAGGGAGAGAAAAATCTCATGAGTTCCGCTGCCCCAGCTCCAGCCAGGACAGCTGGACCATGGGTCTGGCTGCGCTGACTTCTTGGGACCGGGAAGATAAATAATTGCTAGAAATCAGCACGTCAGCCTGAGGAGTACACAGCCCGGAGCACTGACCCTCCCTGCCCCCTCACCCCACCCGCCCCAGGCAGGGGTTACCTTCATAAAGTTGTGCAAAGTGGCACACCCACGTGGTCCTCCCTGAGATCCAGCCCGCCCCACAGCAGTCAGCTTGCCCTCACTTTTCCTTGAGGCGAAGAATCATCTAGAATCTGCACTGATCAATCAGGGAGCTGTGGGCAACACGTGGCAATTGAGCATTTGCAACAAAGCTAGTCTGAACTGAGATGCACAGAATAGCTTATTACTCGTTTGTAATCATTCACTACCTGGAAATCATAATCATAAATCATAATCATCCACTAACATGAAAATATTTGGGGGTTAAATAAAAATTGTCGTATATTATTTTCACCTTTTTTAAACCTTTTTAACGTGGCTGCTAGAAGATTTTATTATTTGTTTAAAGATTTTATTTATTCATTTGACAGAGAGAGAGAGCACAAGCAGGGGCAGCTGCAGAGGGAGAGAAGCAGGCTCCCCGTGAAGCAGGGAGCCCAAAGCGGGGCTCGATCTCAGGACCCTGGGATCATGGCCTGAGCCGAACAGGCAGACGCTTCACCGACTGAGCCCCCCAGGCGCCCCTACTAGAAGATTTTAAATCACATCTGTGGCTCACATTATAATGCTATTTGACAACACTGCTCTCAAGTTATGACTGGCTCCCCCATCCTGTCCACAGAACAAAGCTAAGAGAGGTCAAGCATGATTATTTTGTGAGCCGATAATGGGAAGAAAACTCCGACTTTGTTTTTCTTATCTATTTCACACATACCAGGAGAGAGAGGAAGAGGCATTGCAAGGGGCCCAATCCAGGAAATGGGTGACAGCCTGCAACCACCTCCAAGCGGGCCCCATTCACCCACCCAAAGTGTGTGCGGTGGGTGCTGCCAGATTCCCCTGTTAGAAGCAGAGTGCTCACCATGTCCCTGGTGCACTTCAGAATCCTCCAAGGGCACCTCAGAGGAGTCCAGATGCCTTGCCATGGCATGCGAGTCCCTGTGCAACCTGCCAAACTTGTCCTTCCGGCCTTATCTCACATGCTGCCTGCCCCTGTCTCTTCACACATTCATTCATTCGACAAATATTTACTGTTACTTCCCACGTGCCAGGCTACTAAGGTCAGGTGGTTAGCAAAACAGACACTAAGACCCCCCTGTCGTGGGGGGGTGACAAGTAAGTGAATAGAGGCAATTACAGCACATGCTTAAGTAAGAGCAGGTGTGGGGCAAAGCACGGGGGCCGTGGGTGCACCAGAGGCACCTAAACCAACCTGGAAGTCCAAGAGGGCTTCCTGGAGGAGGTGACATCCCCGTTGAAGAATTTGAGTTGGCCAGCCTGAGGCTGGATGGTGGTAAATACCCCGTGCAGGGGAACTCTGAGTTCAAAAACCAACCGGAAGGGCAAAGCAGTGGACAGAGCATGCAGAACTGAAGGACATGCCATATGGCTGGAGGGCAGGGGCCAGGGGCAAATGACTGGCCTGGGGTAGATGGCAGGGGCTGTGTGAGCCCTGCAAAAGAGTGTGGCATATACCCTAAAGGGTTTATTCTGCAAGAGTTTTAAGCAAAGGAGCTCCTGTTTCACACCTGAAAAGCCTTTCCCCTCCTCTGGGTGAGCTCAAGTCCCACCTCCCCCAGCAGGAGCCACGTCCAGGGGGCCAACCTCCTGCGTCAGGCCCTTGGGGCTTTAAAGGAGACAGAGCAAGGGGCTTGTAGGGGCTCCAATCCAGGGATGAGGGTACTGGGCCTGGGTTTGGGGATCAGCTGGTGTTGGGATTTGGGGCTGAGGCAGGATTTGAGTTTGGGGCTGGGATTCGGGGGCTGAATTGAGTCAAGGTCGTGGTCTAGGGTCTAATTCCAGAATTTGGAGCCTGGGGTTGGGGTGAGGAGTTGGAGCTGAGGTTTCAAGCCAGATTTGGGGTTGGGATTTGAAGCTGGGGCTGGAATTGGATTTGGAAATGGGGCTGGGGGTTGGGGCTAAGATGTGGGGTAGGGGTTACAGTTGGAGCTAGGAAATCTAGTTAGGGTTTGAAAGTGCAGCTGGGGTTGGGGTTAGGCTTAGGCTGGCACTAAAACTAAGCTGGGCTTGGAGCGGGGGGGATGGGTTAGGGTCCAGGCTCTGGGGCAGATAGAAAACATTCCTCCTGCTGCCCAGATCTGAGAATTGTGTTCGAGCCCTAACAGCAGCGGACAGAAGCCCCTCCCTTCCCAGGAATGCCTCAGCCCGGCAGAAGGAGCTGTGCCACGTCAGCCAATTGGCTCAAGCCCTGCCTAGGAAACACCTGCTGATCCTCCTCCCTCCCCACGCACACCCCCAGGGCTTACCTGGATGCAGGTTAGGCAGGTGAAGCACCTCCCCGGAAATGGAGCTGGAGTGCCCCACCTGCCTGGCCCTGCCTGCTCAGATCGGATCCAGCACTTCCAGGCTTCTTGTGAGTGCCCCATGGTCCCCTGAGCCCCCCACCGCCCCCACTTTCTCCTACTGGCTCGGCCTGAGAACCTCCACCCCACCCCCAGCCTGGCCCCACTGTCCCAGTACACCTGTGCAAGCGCTTTCGGACCAGTGAAGGCACAGTCCGGAGGAATACTGGGATTGACTCCAGGTCCCCTCCTAAGGCCCCCTCCCCCACCTCCCTTGGGGCACTCCTACCCTGTGTGCTAGGCTGCCCCTCCAGAGGGGTTGTGAAGGACAGACTCATCAGGGGTGTATCCCGTGGAGGGCCACGTTCATCGTATTCCTGGAACGACCCAGGACCTGCACCCTATGTGTAAAGCAGGGATCCTATCCTGAATTGTAAGGGACAATATTGTATTCTTTTATTTAAGAAAGCGTTCTTTAGGCATCTCTGCAGGCCCTGGAGTTCCCATTGGAATTTTGAAGTGGAGATGTCAAATGATTCGCCCCCATCCTTCAAGATAAATGTTATTGTCCTCACTTTTCCAATAGGGAGACTGAGGCTGTAAGAGGTGAACTCATCTGGGGCTTCTCTGACCCTCCCCTAAGCCTCTCTTCTGACTCACCCGCACACCGGGCATTTATCACATATGCACCTGCTGTAAGCTGGGTTTCCTTGAGGGCAGGGACCATGCTGCTTTATTTTGCCCAGTTTGAGTCATGTTGGCTGGCCTCTAGAGGAAGGTTAAATGTTAAACGAGTAACCACTGTCAGGTCCCTCGCCCAAGTCCCATGGCTGGTAAGGACAGGAGCTGGGGTTCAAGGACAGAGCCCTCCTCCCTTTGCTCCACTTTAGAGAAATCCTAGAGGAGGAGGCTGGCAGGAGGGGGTTGGTGAGAGGAAGGATGGAGAAAGGCAGGAAGAGGGGTGTGGGTAGGGGTGAGGAGGCAGGAGGGGTGGGGATGGAAGCAGGGACTATGTGGAGAGAGGTTTACAGATGGCCTCCCTGGGACGTGCACTTCACAAGGAAGTAGGGAACATGACAGGAGGAGAAGGTCTGGGCTAAGATGACGAGCTTGGGTCGGGACGTGTTGCATCAGAGATGACTAGGGAACATCAAGGCAACAATTGGCTTTGGGTCTGGAGCTTAGGAGGGAGATCCAGGTTTGGGGGAGAGAGGGATTGGGGCACCAGCAGCTGTGGATAGGAAATCAGATGAGATGTTGGGGAAGGAGAGAGTTAGGGATTAGATCCTGACCCACAGAGAAGTAGCTGCAGTCCCAAGAGAGAAGGTTCAGGGTCAGGCTGCTGGTTCCAGAAGGGTTAAGTCATAAGCCCCCCTCCCTCCCCGCAACCCTCCCCCCAGGAGCCAGCAGTGACAGCTGAGGCCATGTGAGTCTGATCCTGAATGAGGCTTTATCTCTGCTCTTGGTCCCACCATCCACTGTGGCACCAGCTCCTTCGGCCAGCCGGGATGGGACAGGCAACTGAGAGAGCCAGAGAGGTCAGGGGCTGGGCCAGGGGCTTCCCTGGAGGGGTGGGGGAATGTGTTCTGTGGGGGAACTCTCCTGGGCCATTGGAGAGGCATTCCCAAGTGGCGGTGCTGGGGAGGGGGTCTGTCGGGGGACACTGGGGCGCATTCCCAGGGATCATCCCCCAGGCTCCCAGGAGAGACCATAAAGGGCGAGTGGGCTGGGGAGGTAACAAGTGTGATCCCCCCTGCAGGTGATGGTGACCATACACTGGACTGGGAGAGGAACAGGACTCTGGGCCTCTAGCTGCCAAGCAGGTGGTGGGGGCCTCTAGGCCATGACCCACACCCTCTAGCCCCAACACTGCACTCTGCCCTCTACCCTGCCCGCCGCCATGTCTGAAGGAGAGGCTCCAGTCCCGCCGGCTGGGGGGCTGCCCCCAGACATGCTGGCAGAGCAGGTAGAGCTGTGGTGGTCCCAGCAGCCGCGGCGCTCCGCGCTCTGCTTCGCTGTGGCTGTGGTCCTGGTGGCGGGCTGTGGGGCGGGAGGCGTGGCACTGCTGTCCTCCACCAGCAGCCGCTCGGGCGAGTGGCGGCTGGCGACGGGTACTGTGCTCTGCCTGCTGGCCCTGCTGGTTCTGGTCAAGCAGCTGATGAGCTCGGCCGTGCAGGACATGAACTGCATACGCCAGCCCCAGCACGTGGCCCTGCTGCGCAGCGGCGGAGGGGCCGATGCCCTTGTGGTGCTGCTCAGTGGCCTGGTGGTGCTGGTCACCGGCCTGACCCTGGCTGGGCTGGCCGCCGCTCCTGCCCCGGCCCGGCCACTGGCCGCTATGCTGTCGGTGGGCATCGGCCTGGCTGCCTCGGGCTCACTTTTGCTGCTGGGCTTGCTGCTCTATCAGGTGGGCGTGCATGGACACCGTCCCCCTCGCCATGCAGCCGCCCCCTCCACCCACAGTGACCACAGTGGCAACGGCAGCATCTTCAGCATCTCAGGCCGGCTCTCTGCCGGCCAGCGTCACGAGACCACATCCAGCATCGCCAGCCTCATCTGACCGAGTTCCCCTTTCCCGCCACCTGCCTCGGCGGCCACAGAGCTGTGCCAGGGTGTGAGCAGGCGTGAGTGGGTGTGGGCTTGCACGTACATGTGCAGAAGAGTGTGAGTATGTACGTCTCCCCAGGACTGTCCAACCCTCTGAGGGTTGTGTGACCTGTGCTGTGTGACTACGTGACCCCATGCCACAGGAAGGCGTGGAGGTGTCTCCTCAGAACTGGGGGTCTGTGACCATGGAATGGTCAGTCTACCTGTCCGTCTCTGGAGTCCCTGAAGATTCTTGGCCCCTGTTCCCAACACCCCTCAAATGCCACCCTGCCTTGTGACACCTGTCAGGGATCTCCCAGGAGTGACTCTTACCTGCCTAGCCCGGAGACAATCCCGGTGGCTCTTCACTGAGGAGAGTAACTGGTGACAACGTGGAATGAACCCAGGCTCCACGATGTGCCAGGACTGGACTGGAACCCCTCCCCCCGTCTTCCACTCACCAGCTGGGGACCTGGGGCAAGTGACTTGACCTCTCTGAGCCTCAGTTTCTGGAGAGTCACAGTCGTGGTTGTGGAAATTGATCGTGAGGGCCACATGCCATCATGTATGGAAGGACCGGGCACGTGGCAGGTGTGCAATAAAAGTGGTGGCTGCTGTCATTGTGATTGTCTGTCCCTCGCCATCTCTCCTAGAGACCTTCCCTCCCGCTCCCCTTGCCCACCCCCAACAACTACCCCTCTCCAGGGAACACTGTGCCTCTCTCAAGCTGACAAAAGGTGCCGTGTCCCCGGTCAGGCCTGTAGTTTCTCCTCATAGGTACTGCGGAGGCGAGCTGGGGTGAGCAGATGCTTCCCTTCAGGAAGATGGTAGGTTTCTGGTCCCCGGGGGTCGGGGGTGGGGCGGGGTGTAGAGAGGAGTGTGGCCCGAGTACTTCACATTTGCCTCTGCACTGGTTCAAGATAAAGCCTGAAGCACTGGGGTTTTATCAGCTGGCTTCTCTGGAGGCTGCAGCTCCCTACCCAACCTCTAGGACCGGAACATCTTGACCCCTGTAGTTGCTGCACCAGCCGGTCTTCCTCTGCACCCCACCCCCGCCCACCCCCCAGGCACGGGAGGGTTGTGTGAAACCCCCCTGGGCTGTAAGAGTCACTTCCTGCTTGGGGTCAGCCCTGGAAGGGATCGCCCTTCTGCAGCGCAGAACTTCCTGGGTGGCAACAATCACCTCTCAACGTTAGTTTCATCACTCCTGCTTCTCAAGGTCAGATGCGGCGCAGCCCGGCCAGGGCCCCAAGAGAGGCAGGGACACCAGACGGGCCTCCAGGGGGTGCTAAGCATAGAGCTACATGTGCTCTGATGGGAGAAAATTGCTTTCAGGGGCCAAGATCTAGGGGGCCCTCCTGGAGAAAACGCCGAGCTGATGGATGAGGGAAGGGCATTGCCAGCCGAGGAGGAAGCCAGGTGAGCGGAAACAAGGGGCCATGTCCGGGAGCACCGGGGCAGCAGAACCTTTCCCCGGGGATCTATGGCATCTCAGACCCCACGTATTCAACATCCCATCCCCCTCGTCCGCATCCTGAACCAGCTCCTCGTCTCACCTGGGGGCTGTGGCCTTCACCCAGCACCCAGGTTAGAAAGCTCGGCATGGTCCCAGACAGCACCCTCGCTCCCTCCTTATCCGGTGTCCAGTGACCACGTCACCACCTGTGGACTCCCCCACACATGTGCGTGGGGTGCTCAGCTCTCCAGGCTCACTCCCAACGCCCTCCCCATCTCTGCCTGATTTGTGCAGCATCCCCTCGGGCTCCCTGCTTTTGCTCTTTTCTTCTTCAGTTTACCTCCCAACCCCAACACACACACTTGAACCACAGTGACTATTAGGGGAGGTGATGGGGTTGGGGGAATGTGACCGCCAGTTGACCCATGAGCTAGACCCAGGCGATGGGAGGCTCCTCACCCCTTCTCCTGTCCTTGAAATGGGTGTCCCGCTTGCCTCTCCGGCTCCTAGAAGCTGCTCCAAGGATACAGCCTTGAGACAGTGGTGTCGTGAAGAGACTATCTGGATGGTACGAGAGACTGAACCCAGTGAAGGCCTCTGTATAAACTCTTAAGGTCTGACAGGCAGGTGCAGAGATCTTGTCTTGTAGCCACCCAGGAAAAGCCTCATAAGTAAGTTCCCTTGCCCGTTACACCTGCCAGCCACCGATCTGGAGTGGCCTGTCTCCGTCTCTGGCCTCTTCCTGCCCTCCACGTACGAGGGCCAGTTTCAGACTATACCTGGGAGGCTCCAGGTGGCAACCCAGTGCTGTCCTAAAACAGACTTACGTTCAGGTCCTTCCCTGATCCCCCACGGCACGCAGACTAATGTGCAGGCTCCCTGACATGATTTGGCCTCCCTCACACTTCAAAGCAGCCCATGAGCCAGCCCCACGGAACTGCTGTGACCTCCCCATGTTCCCTCACTTCTCCCAGCCTTTGTGTCTCTCTCCCCCTTGCCTTCATACCCTTCAAGACCCAGTTCTCTAGGCATCTTCCCTGACCCTGCCCCCCCAAACTAACAAGTTGCTCATTTTCTAATGCTGGGCCCTCCAACTGTAAACACCAGTCTGCAGTTCTTTCCCTGTGTGCCTGTCTCCTGAATCAGGATTGGGGTGTTGCTCATCTGCATATCCTTTGTTCCCAAGGTGGACCTGACACATAGTAGGTGCTTTACTGGATGAATGACTCACTCAGCTTGGTCGGATGGCAATAGGTATGCGAGGATCAGGGAGAGACCTACCCAGAACGGGATGGGTTGGGAACTTGGACCACTGTCCACTGTTGGCCCAGAATCTTTCTGCCCCCAAATTCTCACTCTTCCAGGGCTCCCATTCTCAACAACTTCAGGGCCATCAGAGGACCATAGACTGCCTCTCCATCCTGTAATATGGGGAGAAATCCTGTTTCTTTTCAGCTGAGACAGGGTTAGACTCTTTCATGATATTTCTTTTAAAAACTAAAGGAGGGGTGCCTGGGTGGCTCAGATGGTTGGGCAACTGCCTCCGGCTCAGGTCATGATCCCGGAGTCCTGGGATCAAGTCCCGCATCGGGCTCCCTGCTCAGCGGGGAGTCTGCTTCTCCCTCTGACCCTCTTCCCTCTCATGCTTTCTATCTCTCATTCTCTCTCTCAAATAAATAAAATCTTAAAAAAAAGATCTGTTTCTAAAAAAAATAAAAAAATAAAGGAAGGGTGCCTGGCTGGCTCAGTTGGTGGACCCTGCAACTCTTGATCTTGGGGTCGTGAGTTTGAGCCCTATGTTGAGCCTAGAGATTACTTTTAAAAACCCAAACAAAGGGCAGAAGGTTTGTTTGAGAAAAACAAATAAAATGCTACAACAAAAACAAAAAAAACTAAAGGAAAATAGAAACACAGGCCTAGAGAAAGGGGAGGGGATGAGGCATATCGCACAAATGTCCGAATAAGCAGCCGCCGCAGACAAGGCCTGTGTTGAGCTCTCCTGGGAAGGATGCCAGATGAAGAATATGGCCCTTACCCCCGAGGGCCATTCCAAAGGGCAGTGGAAACCTCCACACCCAGCTATAACGTGGGTCTGGGCAGGAGCTGGGTAGAGGCACAGGCAGGGCAGAAATGCTTCTGCAATCACTAAAGCTGACTTCCCACAACCTCCCACCTCCAGCTTGTTTGCTCAGAGCATCTCACTAAATCCCATCTCGGTCCACGCTGCAACCAGACATCCACTGGACCCTCCTGTCTTCCCTCCCCCTCCTGTCTTCGTCTTCCTTCTGGTTAAAGATCCCATGGCCCATCATTTCACCCACTCCTTGACAGAGTCCTCAACTCCTTAGCCTCCCTCTCCCTGTCCTTTGGTCCCACTGCCCCAGCAAATTCCCCTCCTTGGATGAATCCACCCGTCTGCCTCACAGTGAGCGGTTGTTAGAGAAATCCGCACGGCCAGGCTGCCTGGTGTCACCATGAATTCCTCATCACCCATCTCAACTGGGCTACCATTCTACTCATCAGTTCCACTGCGCTTCCCTGGTCAGCTCCTGCTTCCACAGTGGCGGCACCCAAGTTATCTCCACGGCTTTCACCCCCAGCAACAACCCCCCAGGCTTGGCCTCCCTGTCCCAAGAAAATGAGTCATGTAGCGGAAGCCTTCACCTTGCTCCTACCGAATAGCTCCACCTTTACTCCCGTCTGTGGAACGGCCTTGTCGGCCCAGCTGAGGAATTTGGACTTTGTCCTCAGGACAATGAGAAGTATGGAAAGCTTTTAAGGAGGAAAGTACTCTGGCCAGAATAGGATTTGGGACCAGCTGGCTGCAGCGCAGAGCCAGGAATTGGCTTTAGGAGTAAACGAATCCGAAGAAACGTCCAATCAGTCCCAGAAGGGCCATTTCCGCTGGCCCCTGAGGGATGAGAAGCAGATGGCCAAGCTAGAGAGATGGAGAAGAAAGACTATCCCAGAAAGAAGGAAGAGCAGATGGAGGCTCCAGAGATGAGAGAACTTGGCTCCTTCAAGGAAACAGAGGGTTTGTGCGGCCGGAACTGGAGCATTCACTGGCAAGAGGCAAGGGGTACGGCCAGGGAGGAGCCCTGGGCCAGTCCCAGGCTTCAGAGCCTCCATAGTAGGTGGCACCATTTCTTAAGGTGAAGAGGAAGCCGGTGAAGGATTTTCAGCAGGGGAGTGGCCTGGTCCGAATTGTGTTTTAGGACACTCATTCTGCCTGCAGCATAGAGAATTAACTGGGAGGGGCAAAAATAGGGAGAGAGGAATCCTTTGGTTGATGAAAGCCATCTCCAGATGCGAAATGATGGCCACCCAGACAAAGGGGTGGCTGTCGGGACAGAGCCAAACACAACAGAGCTGATGGACGTTCGGAGGGTGGGACCAATCTGTCTTGGTGACTGAGGAGCTTTTTAAGCTGGGAGAGATGTGATGGGTTGATAGAATGTTGATAGAACACGAGGGTTAAGACAGAAGGCAGAGAAGAGGCTGTTCTTAAAGTCCCCAAG